CCACCACTCCCCCCCCCCCCCCCCCCCATTTTTTTTTCTCTTCCTTTTATTATTTTCTATTTAAAATTTTGAACCTCCTTATAGATAACTATTTAGCTAATCATTGGTAAAATCAACGTCAGTCTTTTCCTTTCCACTATTTTTTTCTACTCTAGATAATGTAGCACTGCTCAATACCAAATTTTTATTTGTTATAGTTACCAATGCAGACCACTTCTTTCGACGCTTTCTAATCATTCTTTTTGAACTAGTGCAATGCATTTGTTGTGACGAGTAATTGGAATTAGACTTCTAATGTATGATTCCCACCTAGGTTCCACTTTTTAGTAAAAAACACTTCAATCAATTGTTTTCATGCATGGAATCAACATATATCTAAGAGGACTCTAACAACGATTTAATCACCCACAAACTTGTCATTTCATTATGGTGTGGTTTTGGTTTTAATCAACCTACATTCAACATATTCTATTTATGTAATCATTTCAAAAAATATATAGAGACTAAGATGATTATAATAATACCACCATTAGTCTGCTTGGCTATCTAACTCACACAAATAGACAATAAATAAACAAAAATCTTTTTTGAAGTTCTCAAATTTATTTATTTTTTCATTTTTATATAACCGGAAAGACGGTAACATGTATTTAATCAATTCACACAAAATATAGATACGTATTATTTTGATGCAACCATTCCCAAACTTAAATTATTCATTGCCATCAATGTATGCAAGTATAAATCACGAGACAAAAGAGTAACAAAGTGTTCATCCTAATGACTAAAAGTTTAATCGAGCATTATAAAATCACAAGAATCTATATTTGATTAAAGAAACATCTCCAGGTTTTTAGATGTAGAAAGAAAAGGAGAAAAATTCTTGATTCCTTGAATCCTTTCAATTCTTCTTGACAATTGTATTTTGCATTTTCTTCTTGTTTGACCAAAATCCAAGAATGTAATCGTAAATCCTTCGTGCAGCAATGAAGTGTTTTTGTTTCATGTCTCTTGTTCTCTCTAATGCTTAGTCTCAAGAAATTTGGCTTATAAAGTAGGTTAAAAACGTGGTAGCTATCTAGAATTCTGCGGATAGACCTCATGATAGCACGCATGGGCGGATTTGGTAGTGGGCTCTAATTTTTAGTGTGTAGCCCACCAACAATTAATACCACTTGGTAAGTCCAGTCTAATTCTTAAAACTAATTATTTGTTTTGTTTTAATTTTTGGCCCAATTCTTAAAACTAACTTTGTTTAATTTTAGTCCAAATCCGTCACTGGCTCATTTGATTCCTCTCTTTTCTTCTTTCTTCAAAATTCAACCTTAGGCGTCATTTGAAATTTTTGAATACTAAATTTCTCAAATTTTTTAACCCTAAATCTTCCATCTTAAATGATGTTCTTCCTATCCCTCATGAATAAAGTCATTTTGTGAAATTTTCCAATTTTTACATTGTCACGAAAAAGTCATTGTTGCCTAATATAGTTGAAATAATTCTAGGTTACCACTTCTTTTTGGAAATAAAAAAAATGTAGGCAAGAAATTCTGAAATTTATTTCATTTATAACATGTGCGTGATGAGTAGGCTACTGATATCAAATTTAGATCCTTACAATATGAACTAATTTATGTTGGGAAGGAAAATAGAGAGATAAGAATTTATGATTTGATATATGATGAATTTATAATCTCTTACAATAGAGGGGTATGAATTTATGATTTAGGAAGGAAGATTTTAAGTTCTAAACTCTTACAATATGAACTAATTTATTATTATGATTTTATCAATTTATGTTTATGGGATATTGACATATTGAGTTTTGGATTTTAATATGGAAGAAGATCGACCTTCTACCAAAAAATAAGAACCGTGTTATCTTTCTTTTCAAAGAGTGATAAATCTAAGGATACAACTGTAATAACTAATATTATATCACAACTTTTTTGATATATTTGAATTTATTCATACATTAAATTTTTAATTTTTTTTGCCCCCCAATAACGTTGATTCCTAGCTCCGCCATTGATAGCAAGATACAAATTTTGTCATATTTTCACTTTGGTCCCTGATTTCTTCTTCTATTCATCTTGAGTCTTCATTTGTGTTTTCCATTACTCCTTCAACTCCCAAGTTCATCAAATTTGATCCACAAAAAATTGACTATCTTTGATTTGAATAAACCCTTGAAGATTTACAATTTGGTCATCGAACTTTTACAATTCTTTCTCTAGCCCTTTTTTGGACGATTTTCACTTCTTTCATCTATAACATCAAAATTTTTCTACAATAATCATATTTAGCCGATTTAAATAGTTATTTCATCAAATTGACTCACAAATATCCATTTGACGATTGGCTTCCAAATATCCATTTGACAACCAAGTGTAGAAATCATGCTTATCGTATAATGTGGTACAACACAATGTAACACACTATGCTATAAAATATACTTTGAAAAATTAAAATAAAAAATAGTTTTGGATTTTTTTAAAAGTGTAATTGAAATTAATAAAGTTTTTTAGTACTTGTTTGATAAAGCTTCACTATAATTTTATCAATTTTTCACCTATAAACTTCAATTATAATCACACATTTTATATGATTCACAATTTTATTAATTTTTTAATCACACGTTACATCAAATTTTAACAAAATTTATTAAAACTTTTATTTAAAGCTTCGACAAACAATCCCTTTGTTGATTTTTGAAATGCTTCCTTTATATTATTTGGTATTTAGTATTGGGGTACTACACAAACACCCTGTATTTTAGGGCTGTTTTGAAAAAAACATGATAAGGTTGGATTAAATGGTAATTAATTAGATTTTAATGTACAAATTATGTTCAAAACTGAAAACCAGCCTCCGAATTGGAAAAATCAAGGGAAAATTCAAAGGAGAAAAGGAAATCTTCCACAAATTCATTCATTATTCAAAGTTATGGAAAAAGACTACTTCAACGTTGAAATCCCTGGAAAAAGATCGAGACATTCTTCGTGTAATATACACAAATAAAATTACAGTTTTTTATATTTTTGAATCCTTGTTTAATTAGTTTCCTATTTTTGTTGACCTATGGTTAAAATTTATTTGATTTTTTAGTGGAAATTTTTCATTTGAGATTGATTTTTCTTGTTTATAATTTTGAATTTATTTACTTTTAATTCGAGGCTTCCTTTGCATTATGATGAATGATCGAAATGGAAGCATAAATGACCGAGAGTTCTTCTTTGTATAAGAACAAATAACCAAAAAAATTTGATTGCTAAGGCTACATTTGAAGTTTCTTTTTGAAGATTTACTGTGCTTAAGTACTAGGTATTAGCACCTTGCATGAATGGATTTTGTATGCCTGTTATTATGTGTGTATAAGGCTATTATCCCCCAATTAAAATGATGCTATTCAATCGTATTTGTCATGGCATGCCGGATTCATAATGTAAATAATTAACATTTATGAAGTTTCTTTTTGATGATTTTGTTATTGTAATTGAAAACATGTTTCAAAATAACACTGTTAAACTTGAAAGGAAAGATTGTGTCACTAAATATGAAAAATTAGCTTTAAATCAATTGAAATGATACATACAAGGTATTTGACAAAAGGAGAATTTAAAAAGATGACATTCCGTCACTTTTCTCAAAAAAAAAGTCACACTATATCATTGGAGCAATTACCTAGATGCATAGTGTGTATTTTTTGAAAATTTGAATATACAAATTCAAGCCCTGTTTTATGATAATACATATGAAAAAGAAAACTTTGAATCCCCTCTCTTCACTAAGCTAAGCTAAAGAGAGAGAGAGAGAGAGAGAGAGAGAGAGAGAGAGAGCGCTAGATCCAAGCATACGCATTCATGTTGAACTCTTTTGAAATAGGTAGGAATTATTCGTTTAAAAAAGAGGAAAGGTGCCCAGTAGTTCATTGATGCATACAATGTGTTTGTTCAATAAAAATGTGAATTCTGTCACTTTTCTATGAAAAAGTAAGATTCTATCACTTTTCTTAAAAAAAGTCATACTATATCATTGTAGCAATTACTTAGATGCATACGTGTACATTTTTAAAAATTTGAACATACCAATTGGAGCCTTATTTTCTGGTAATACATATAAAAAATTAGCTTCGAATCACTTAAAATGATGCATGCAA